TATATATATATATATATATATATATATATATATATACCCCACATCTTTGCTGTCGATGGACATCTTGGCTTTTTCCACAGTTTGGCTATTGTGGACGTTGCTGCTATAAACTTCGGGGTGCACGTACCCCTTCGGATCCCTACGTTTGTATCTTTGGGGTAAATACCCAGTAGTGCAATTCCTGGATCATACGGTAGCTCTATTTTCAACTTTTTGAAGAACCTCCGTACTGTTTTCCAGAGTGGCTGCACCAGCTTGCATTCCCACCAACAGTGTAGGAAGGTTCCCCTTTCTCTGCATCCCTGCCAACATCTGTCGTTTAACAGGAAAGGATTTTTAACAGAATAATAATTCTAGCTTAATATCTGCCCTTGAAGATCTTGTGTGTGTCCTTCATTCTAAGGAAAACACCTGCTTTTCTAACTTTCCCAGTTCACAAAAATGAATATCCAGGAAAGGAGATATAATAATCATTTTTTGTTTTAGTTGGAAGAGAGAGGAAAAGCAAAGAGCCCCATCTCTCTTTAGGCCTTCCTTATTATTCATAAGCATTTCTGTGGAATATAATAACCCAAGGAAAAGCAAATGATTTTTATGTAACTTTATTTGAAATAGACTTTAAATAGACTCCCTCAATTTAATGTGCACATAAATCATGTGGGGGTCTTGTGGAAATGAAGATTTTGACTCAGTGAGTCTGGGAGGCCCCAACATTCTGAATTTCAACCAAGATCCCATCTGGTCCGCAAACCACACTTGAATAGGAAGGATCTCAACTTTTCCCTGCTCTTAATCACTTACACTTTAATTTTTCAGTGTTCCAGTATCATCAGATTGGAGAAACCAACCCATGAGAACTTAAAACATACTTGGTAAGTAGAAGAAAGAAGTAAGAATGTTTTTCCATTCTGGAAATCTTTTCTAGATTTGCAGCTCACTTTCTGTCCTTGGTCTGAAAAAACCTGGCATACTCATTGTTGTCCGGTATGTTCTTTACCCTGATGACTAAGAATCTAATTATGTTCTAAATTGTGACTATTTCCCTAAATATTTCCAGCTGCTTTCAAGACGAACTCTATAACATCACTAGAAAAAGGCTCCTTAGCCTTTTTGGGAAGCTTACAATATGATCCCAAATAGCTTTCTTTCAACATGTGATGTTCAGAAGACCACAGAATTTTAGGGTACCTTTTCAAATTATCATTAATCATATATGGTTTTCTTATGAAAGCATTTCTTTCAAAATGACCCACATTTTGAAAAGAAAAAACACATATCAGTTTAGACAAGATTTTGGGGTAGGAGAGAACTTAACTCAGAAACCTTATTTGGGAATGATGAATTTTAGTATTTTCTGTCTCAGTAACAATAGTTACTTAGTATACACTACCAAACTAGTTGTAAACCAAAGGGGAGGGCCTATTTAAATAATAAACTTAAGTACTAAGTTTCCAGTGCCAGGACGTTTGTACAGAAAATTGAAGTCAAAATTGGTTCATCAAGGGGCATCTGGGTGGCTCAGTCGGTTAAACATCTGCCTTCGGCTCAGGTCATAATCTAGGAGTCCTGGGATCAAGCCCCGTGTTGGGTTCCCTGCTCAATGGGGAGTTTGCTACTCCCTCTGCCTGCTGCTCCCCCTGCTTGTGCACTCTCTCTCTCTGTCAAAAAAATAAATAAAATCTTAAAAAAATAGCTCATCAAAAAATGTTTTATACAAGCTACTATGTTATGAATATACAAAATGTCATTTTTTTGACACAAATATGACTTTTGAAAGCCTTATTACTCCAAAAAATGTGCTAATTCTAAAAGACATCTGAGTACCTAATTATTTAAATGTTATTTTAGTTGGGATTTACAAAAAATATATCTAGCCAAGTAGTATTAACTCAGCTAAAAACATGACAGCAAGATATCCTTCCTGGTATTATGCTTTTATTCATCTTTTTCCAAGTTCCATTCATTATCTGCCTCTTCTACATTTTAATATTTTACTTTAGGCATATGAAAGATTATATGTAAATATGAATAATTTATGAAGCATATTTTCCAAGGAATACCTGTGAACCCATCCCATCCTTAAGAATTAGAAAAATACCAATACATTTTTATTCTTTACTTATCCATCTCTTGTTTCTTCCCCAGAGGTGACCTCTATGCTGAATTTTTCATTAATTATTCTCTTTAAAAAATAATTTTACTGGGACACCTGGGTGGCTCAGTTGGTTAAGCATCTGCCTTTGGTTCAGGTCATGATCTCAGGGTCCTGGGATTGAGCCTCACTTTGGGCTCTCTGCTCAGCAGGGAGTCTGCTTCTCCCTCTCCCTTTCCCTCTCCCCCTGTGTGCATGCTCTCAAATAAATAAATAAATAAATAAATAAAATCTGTAAAAAAATATGTTACTATGTAGCCATATGAATTGAAATGAGATATTATTTAGTTCCTTGTTTTTTGAGCTTTATAAAAATGGTTTCATAATATATGTATCTAGTCTTTTTCTACTTGATACTGTTTCTAAGATAATACATATTAATGTCTAGTGGTAGGTCATTCTTTTCATTGTTGTGTAATATTAACTTTGAAAATATATCAAAATTTGTCCACTCTTTTGTAAGTGAATACTTGGATTCCCTGATTTTTTTATGTTATTGTGAAACATGCTTCCCTGAGCCTTATAGTACTCCTGATGCACAAAGAGATTTTCTAGGTTGTGTATATTTTGGAATGGAATAGTAAATGATCAACTTTTCAAAACAGTATCAAGTTATTTTCCACTGTACAATTTTTATCTTCCTATAAGTACTGTATACAAATATCCATTGATCCATATCTTGGTTTTGTTAGTTGTCTTAATTTTTGTTAAAAATAGGTATAATATTGTTATCTTAATTTGAAGTTACTTGACTGTTGCTAGAATTGATCGTTTTTTATATGTTTATTGACCATTTGTATTTCCCCCTCTGTGAAATATTTGTTCATTCTTTTGCTTACTTTTCTTTGGGGTTATTTTTTTTTTTTTGTAATATATTTCACTTTTCATTTAAGGACTTTATGACTTACTGTTTTTTCCTCTAGTTACTTTCTAAACAGAATACATCTAGTCTTACGTTAGGTACGGGTTCTCTTGGTAGTCGTAGTTCAGATCAAATCAACATTCTAGTGATAACAATTATACACACACCCACACAATATACACATGATTTTATACACACACAGAGATGCATACACACGTGTGTGTGTGAGTGTATATATATATATATGTATATACACACACATATATATTAAAGTTAAAGTGTATATATATATATATATATATATATATATATATATATATATATATAAAATAACTACCTGAAGCTACTGGAGGACAAACAAAGGTGGGCAGAAACTGGAGAAGCATTGGTACTTGGAAGCAGAATAGTGTGCCTGGTGAGCTTTCCATATTCACTGTTTGTCACCTGAGGGCAGCTCCAGTCAGCACTGTATTGAGGGTTACCATAGCAATTGGAGAGTGAGGGTGAAAATCCCAGAAAGGAGAGAGACACAGAAGGAGAGCCCCGAATTCTGCATGTTAACTCTGTCCAAATATCTGGTTGACTTGTGAGGTATGCATGTGTGGTAGGGAACAGCCACCTAAGATTGAAGGGATTGAACAGGGAGTTCAGCTGCTGACCACTGCGGGGCAAACATAATTTGGAGTTTAAGTTTGCTATGATATCTTCCTGTGAAAACAAATAAAACATCAATAATCTCCAGAGAAATGTAACGTATTCTCTGCAGGATTCAGGTTGCAAAACAAAATGACTAAATAGGAGGAAAACAGAAAGGGATACCCATACCAAAGAGCAAAGGTAATCAGTAGAGAATTACTCCAAGAAATTGGAATTAGCAAACAAGATTTTAAAGCAGCTGTTACAACTATATAAAAATGTAAAGAAAAATACGATCACAATAAGTCAGTAGAGAAAATTTCAACAGAGAAATAGAAACTCTAAAAAAGAACCAAGTGGAAACTATAGAACTAAAAAATACAATATCTGAAAGGAAAAAAAATTATCTGGGTTTAAGAGCAAATTGAAGATGGCAGAAAGAGTCAATGAACTTGAGGATAGATAATAGCAATTATTCAGTCTAAATAACAAAGAGGGGAAAGATTTAAATAAAAATGAACAAAGCCTCTGTCACTTGTAGGACAATATCAGAAGGTCTAACATGAATATAAGTGGAGTCTGAAAGGAGATAGAAAACAATGCAGAAAAGATTTGAGGAAACCACGACCTAAAAGTTCCCCAATTTGATGACAGATACATTTGGTATTGTTACCAAATCTTGTCAGTTCTATTGCCAGAAATCTCTGTGAATCCAGCCTCTCTTTTCTGCCCTCAGGCTCTCATTCATTTGCAACAGCCTCCTATTCTGTCACCTGGAGACCTGCTTCTCCATTTTAACGTATCATTCACATTGTCACCGGCTATCTATCTAAAATCTTTTTCAAAATCAAAACTGATAATGAGATTATAAATAAGATAAAATCTTAAACTTCATAGCACGACCTTTATACTAGGACCCAATCTACTCCTCCTGTCTCAGAGCCCTCATCCATGCCCCTTACACTATGCTTCTCTTACCCTGAGCTTCTCATGATTCTCTGACAGGATAAATCCTCTCATACCTTCATGCCATCTCACAGTGGTGCCTTAGTGCCTTTACCTTTCTTTCCCTTTTCTGAGAGACTCCTATTATGTCTTTAGTAAGTCCTCTCCAGTGGTACTGTCCGGGTTAGTGGTCTGTTCTCTGTGTTTGCATGGCACATGATAAGCATTGCTGTTAGATCATATACCTGGGGAGAAAGAGACCACTATATACCCCTCTAGTGCAAGGACTCTTCCTCCTTGTTTCTGACATACAAGGAGGCTTATTGCTGACATAAAGTAGGTGCCAAGTAAGTACCTGTTGAGTAAATAGAGTATCTGGTAGAAGTTGTCTTATATATATCAGTACATATTATGTTGGATCTTAGGAAACTTCTGATATTTGACAATTTCTCAGTATAAAAATAGCAATTTCCTATGGCTCAGCACTCACACACACAAGAGGGCGCTTATATCTGTTAGCAGATTAAGGCAATTAGAGTTTTATACTCTACTTCTATTAACATTAATTGGGAAATTATATCAAATAATACCAAGATATCATCTGACCCAGCTGACTACCTTTGGGCATGTGACATATTCTTGTGTTCCTGAAGAAACTCAGAGAAATGACTTGCGCAAGGTTTGCAGAGCAATTAAGTGGAAGAGCATGCTGATAAATGTGAAAGCAAGAGTTTAAAAAGTACATATCTAGTCATTTCATTAATATATAGCATTTTAAGTAAGTGTGTGCTGTCTATTCAGGGACAATAAATGACCCATATCTATTCTACTTTTCTAACTTTATTTTTCTCAAAATATTGTTATGAAAATTTTCAGACATACAGGAAAGTTAAAAGAATTGTACAGTGAAAGCACAAATACTCACTAATTTTAATGAATAAAGCTATGAAAAATTACTATGTCCATATTGGTATAGACCCCTGAACTAGGTGTGGTAATCTATTTTAAGAGGAGTACTAACAAGTATAGGTAAAATACAAAACTAAAAATAAAATCATGCTAAGACTTTACAATGATATACAAATAATGGGCTGCAGTAGAGTGGATTCATTTGTAATATTTGTTATTAGTTTCTTTATCAATTAAGAAATTTCTGTAAACTCATATGAATATAGATTTTATCACTTTTTAAAATTAGTTTGGATTTGAATTCAAGATATGAGCAAGTTTTTAGCTACATATGTTCTAAATTGGTGCTGGACACTGGATTTGGTGCCT